CGGAACGAAGAGACGAAGAGCTTTTTCCTGGCCGCGACGAGCCTCGGCTTCGAACAGGCCCCCCGACCTACACCCGAGCCCCTCCCGAGCCCAAAGCGGCCCTCGTGTCGGCATCTTGCCTGTACCGTATCAGCTCGCGCAGTTGGCTTTCCTGACGCTGATGTATCGAGGAAGGGCGCCCGACGGCGGGGCCGAAACCAGCTGCATGAAGCAAATTTCGGTAACCACCCCCTTATCCCCAATCCTGGGGGTCCCGGAACAGTATGGTGACAGATCGCGCGGTGCCCTCGGAACCCCACCAAACCTCACCGCGAGGTCCGTCACCGTACGGCCTTGGGACCCCAAAGGCCACGGTCGCCCGAGACATCCTCGGAAAACGACCCGCGACCCAAAACCGTGCGGTGACCCCGAATCCCCAGTGACTCACCACGCGGTGTGGTCATCACACGTTCTGTGTGGCATCTCATGGGAACCTCCAATGCCATCTTGCTGCTCTTGCGAATCGGCGCGAACAGACGCTAATCGACGCCACATCGAGGCTGGTCCACGCTGAATCGGCGCTTGATCATCGATTGCCAGGCGCCAGCGCACGCTGGTGCACTCTGAGGGTGGACTTGCGAGAACATCCCAAACTCCCGTGACTTGCTATCGAGCACACCGGCTGCACGCAAGAGCTACCCTCGGCACGAATGACATTTGGTGCGCGACCTTAGGGGGGCGCGGGGGGCCTAACCCGAGCGCGCAAGCCGCTGTTTTCTCATCGCGTTAGGCCATCTGGGGCCCCAGGTGTCTGGGCGGGTGGTGATTGAGGGGATGACCCGGATAGGGAGTAAAGAAATTAACCCCAAAGGGGCACTTTAGGGCTCCTTCGGGGCCCCTTATGGGCCCCTGCTGGCTCAAGAAGGGGCCCTCAAGTGCCCCTTTACGGCTTTTTGTTTCGCCCCCCATGTAGGTCACCCCCCGTTACCACCGCTCGCTCGAAGTGCGCCCGCACCAGAGGTCACTCCAGCGAAGGGTCACTCTTACGTGTGGTCGTACACTTTTTTGATCTGCAGGGCGAGAGCGAACCTCTTCCGCTAAAGCTATGCGGGACGCGCACAGCTTTAATTAGCAGAGAGAGGGCGGAAGAAGGCGGGGCCTCACGCGGCCGGGAGAGGGCGAAGCCCAGCCTTGTGGTTTTACACGCCGTTTTGGGGCCCTCGACGATCCCCCCCTTTCGCCCGCCCGGGTCCTCCCCCCCTTGAGCGGGCAGCCCCCTCCCGCGGGGGGTCCCGTGGAGGGGGGGGGGGGGGGGCGAGCAGCGGCCGGCCTGTTTTTTTTTCCGTTTTATGTCGGCTACGCTGTTTGCCCCTTGCCCCATCTGTCCCGGGGCCTGCTCGAAAAACTTGGATCGCCAGGATCTCAGGGTGTGGATGCTTGAGGAAATCGCAGCGCGCCCTCAGTCAAGGGAGAGCCTCGACCAGGCGAAGCTCGGCCTGGGCCGCAGTCGGCTCGGCCGGGCTCAGCCTGGCCCGGGGTTTTCCTGGTCGAGTTTGGTTGCTGGCCCGCATACCCGTACGGCGGAGGGGGGGGGGCCGCGCCTCGCGATTTGAGGCTGCGCAGGCATGGGTGCGGGCTGTCAGACCGTTCCCCGAGAGGGTGCCTCACGTGGGAGCGGTCCGACAACACGCGCCCACAGCCGGGCTCCACAGAGATGCACAAAGGTTTCACCGTCCCGCGGCACACTGCCCACGGGACCAAGTGGTGGATGGCGCCTCAGCGGGGAAGCTCCGCTTCCACGCTGAGGGGCTACGCATGGAGGCAAGCTTCGAGAGAGAGAGAGAGAGTTCTGGTTTCCCCTGGCAGGGATCCCACGAACAGTGTGAGCAGCCGGTGGCCTGGCGTCGTTGCCTGAGCTCCTCCGTCCAGTCCTTGGAGATCCTGGGCCCTCCCTACCCCAATCTCTCTCCAAAACCCAATCTTCGGCGGATGGCCATCCTGCCTCACTCTATGCTTCGAAGCACACCGTCGCCGATGAACGAGCAATTAATGCAAATAAAGACAATTGCTCTATTCGGGGGGCAACGATAGTCCCCCGTCTGTCATTGTCCGCCGTTTGTTCCCAGGGTGTTGCGAAGACGGCCCAAGAGACCGCCAAGACGCTCAAGAGAGGCCCCTTAAAGAGCCCACTGCGGATCTAGGCTCCCAATGGGCATATAATAAGCATCCAAGAAACTTCTAAGAGGCCCCATTGATGCCCCCCCCCCCCAAGACGGAATCAAAGACTTCCAATAATCCATTAATCAATCAAAATCTAACAAGCCCCGTTGACGGCCCAAAAACCCCCGAACACGGAATAAGGGCCTTTTTAACTCAAGAGGTCCCTGTGAGGCTGCGGACCAGGAGGCCCCCTAAAGCGCTCCTGGTCCTGACAGCGAGCCGCCTCCTGCCAAGCGCGAGTCCGAATCGACAAGCAGACCGCCCAGCGCCCAACCAACGACGTCAGGAGGTACACTCAGCACGGTGAGGTCGCCATCGTCGTAATCCTGGCGCCGGCCGAAGCGCTGCTTGGGTGCGCTCGTCTCGGAAAGGGGAGCGGACTATGCGCGCACGTCTCACCAGCAAGAGGTGGCATCGCTCAATTGTTCGCGCAATCTTGAGGAGACACCAAGGCACCGATACCGCTGCTCCCCGGACCTCTGCAAGGGTGCGTTCTGACTAGGATCTCGAGGCGAATCCGATGGTGGCGGCGAGGGCCTCCCAGGAGGCCACAAAATTTAAAAACGAGGCAAGGGAAGTGGCATCGGCACCTTTTCCCCTGTGATCTTCGCGCAGTTCCACGTTCTCAGCTTCCTGCTGCACTCGTTCGCTATCACCTCACAGCCCTGGCGGAACGACGGTGCAGTCCCGAGCAGCGCGCGACGAGAGGCCCGAGGTGACCGACGGCGCGCGCCCCTGCAAACTGATCGAGCGCCGCCGCTCCCCTTCCGCCTCCTCCCGCTTCCGTTTACTGCGCTCTTTCCTCCTGAGAGGCCCTCCTTCGCACGCGCCCGTCTCGTAGGGCGACCTTGCCCCCACTTCCCCCCCTGGATTTAGAGCCGACGTCTGCTATTATTCAACGGTGTGGCTCTGACCATCATGATGGTGACCGTCGACCGTTCGGCTCTCGGAAGCGATGGTGCTTCACAGTCGGACCTAGGACGTAATACCATCCTTCAAAAACATGAGACCCCCCGCCGGCCAGAGCACCGCAAACCATACGATGACCAAGGCTACCCTCCCCCAAGATGCACAAGATACTCCAACGGACACGAAGAACGTTAGGTCACCCTCCCCGAAGCGACCTCGATCTTGGACCTCTGGCCGACTGTATGCGTCCCTTTTGCCATCTGCAACTCAATCGTCCGCGGCATCACCCCGGGGGGGGGGGAGGGGAGCGGCCGCTGGGAGGGGGGAGAGAGGCCAGAAACCAGCACGGCATGGAGCGAATGAGACCAAAACAAACACCAATCAAACACCAGAGCCCCAACGCAACATCAAAACGCCTAAAGCTGAGTCCCGAGCTGTGTTTCAGTCGACATGCAAGCGAGACCCAAGCGTTCGATGTGTGCTGCCTTGGGGCCTCGATTGCCCATGCTGTTTTACAGTAGGGACCCGTCCGCAAGGAACCTTCCACAAGAAACCCAGCCCTGAGAATCCAGGACGTCCAGTGACTTTTGGAATGGGAATGTCGCGCTTTCCATCAAAAAAAAAACGAAACCCAAGAAACCCAGGGCACCCTGGAGGCAAGCAGGGTGTTTCTTGGCATGGGCCTCCGCTGTGTCTTAATGCTTTCATTGGTGCCTGGCCCCGCCCCTCTCTCTGAGGACTCCTCCCTGGAGGCGTCGGAGCGGCAGGCGTTGTGGGGCAGGGGAACTGCAGGAACCAGCACGACAGGAAAAGCACCCGATCAAGGCAAACAGCAAGAATGCCACCTGAGCACCGACTTGTCCTTTGGTACAATAGTATGGGGGACATGAGGCGTCCAGGTCATGCCGACTGGCTTGAAGCAGGAGACTCAGACAAAAAAAAACATCACATGCAATACTGCGAAGCATGAGCCAGACAACTGAACACACACCGTGCCCCGACCTTGTTAAGCAGAAGCCGTAGGGAAGCACAACACTGTTCAAACCGGCGAAGCAGAGACACATATTGGACATGATACGTCACGCATAACGCACAGTGCGCGTAAGCCATATGCGAGACCACCACGCGTTGAAGTCTCCAAATCCCACCAGCCCATTAAAACGTGAGCAGTTTAGAAGATTTCCTCTTCCAACACCCATTCATTCCCCTTCGGGGAAGAGTTTATCCCTCTCCCTTATCCCTCCCTCTAGACCTGGACGGGGCCTTCCGCGATGGGTTGGAGCGTCAAAGGTGGCCTCGGCGAGGGCGCCCGAATCATCAAGCTTACTGAGGTGTTGGTCACATGTTGGCCTCTTTTGAGAGGGGGCCTAATGCACTACGGCCCCTCCTTTGAGCTCCTCCAAGATGGCCCCAAGATGGCCCCCGAACCTCCCAAGAGGTGCCCAGGAGGCCTCAAGAGGCCCTCAAGATGCCCCCGAGAGGCTTCCAAGAGACCACCCAAAACGCCCCAATAGGCCGCCCCCCCCCAGTCCCGGTGAGAAGGTCTACATCATTCATGTTACGAAGGTTTTTGGGAACAAGTTGGCATCCTGGGGGGGTGCCCTAATGTACTACGGCCCCTCCTTTGATTGATCTCTTCCAAGATGGCCCCACGATGACACCCGAGGCTCCCAAGGGTGCCCCAACACGGCCGCAACGGGTGCCCATGAGGCCCCAAGAGGCCCCCAAGATGCCCTCCAGAGGCCATCAAACGACCCCCGAGAAGCCCCAAGATGCCCCCCAGAGGCACACAAGACGCTCCAAGAGCCCCCGGTGAGAAGGTCTACATCATTCATGTTACGAAGGTTTTTGGGAACAAGTTGGCATCCTGGGGGGGTGCCCTAATGTACTACGGCCCCTCCTTTGATTGATCTCTTCCAGGATGGCCCCACGATGGCACCCGAGGCCCCCCAGGGTGCCCCAACACGGCCGCAACGGATGCCCATGAGGCCCCAAGAGGCCCCCAAGATGCCCTCCAGAGGCCATCAAACGACCCCCGAGAAGCCCCAAGATGCCCCCCAGAGGCACACAAGACGCTCCAAGAGGCCTCGGCGAGAAGGTTTACATCATTCATGTTACGAAGGTTTTTGGGAACAAAATGGCATCCTGGGGGGGTGCCCTAATGTACTACGGCCCCTCCTTTGATTGATCTCTTCCAGGATGGCGCAACGGGTGCCCATGAGGCCCCAAGAGGCCCCCAAGATGCCCTCCAGAGGCCATCAAACGACCCCCGAGAAGCCCCAAGATGCCCCCCAGAGGCACACAAGACGCTCCAAGAGGCCTCGGCGAGAAGGTTTACATCATTCATGTTACGAAGGTTTTTGGGAACAAGTTGGCATCCTGGGGGGGTGCCCTCATGTACTACGGCCCCTCCTTTGATTGATCTCTTCCAAAATGGCCCCACGATGGCACCCGAGGCTCCCAAGGGTGCCCCAACACGGCCGCAACGGGTGCCCATGAGGCCCCAAGAGGCCCCCAAGATGCCCTCCAGAGGCCATCAAACGACCAACGAGAAGCCCCAGGATGCCCCCCAGAGGCACACAAGACGCTCGAAGAGGCCTCGGCGAGAAGACCACACTTATTAATTGCATTTCGGTGTTGGCCAAAATTTGGCCCCCTGGGGGGCCCTAATGTGCTACGGCCCTTCCTTTAATAGATCTCTTCCAAGATGGCCCCAAGATGGCCCCTGAGGCTACCAAGGGTGCCTCAAGTCCGCCCCAAGAGGTGTCCAGGAGGCCCCAAGAGTCCCCCACGATGCCTCAACAGGCTCCAAAGAAGCCCCAAGAAGCTCCAAGAGGCCCCCCAGAGACAACCAATACGCTTCAAGAGGCCCCCGGGACTGCAAAGACACCCCCAAGACGCCCCAAGAGGACCCCAAGAAACTCTCGAAAGGAATCAGGAGAGATTCCGAAAGGCATCCAAGATGCCTCTCGCCTTTCTGCTCACCCTCCTCCTCCTCCTCCTCCTCCTCCTCCTCCTCCTCCTCCTCCTTCACCTCCTCCAACTCCTCCTCCTCTTCCTCATCCGCCTGTTCCTCCGCCTCCCTCTTCAGAGTTACACAATATGAAAACTACTCTCCTCTCCCCCTTGGTGACTTCCGGGAAATACTCGGCCCCCCTCCGCGCACTGGTTGTTTGCTCACACGATTCCCGGGAAACGGGTCCTCGATTGGGTTTATGTTCAAAATGCTGCTCTCGCTGAAGCGCTGGCTTCATTTTCGGGCTACCGCTGCAGCGCTGGCCTCATTTCTGCGCTTCCGCGCGTTCCGAATCGTGCTCCTGCTGCAGCGCTGGCGTCATTATTTCCAGCACCATGCCACGGCATGGTTGTCGATCTTCCAAATCGGCCCGATTTTTTTGTTGTTTTTTTGTGTTTTTGTTTTTTTCTCGTTTTTTTCGCCTCCCCCAACAAAAAGCCATCGGAAGTTATCCCGCATTCGGTGTCGATTCGTTGTTTTTTGGGGTCGCGGACCCCACCCCACTTGGAGGCGTCGCCACGCCATGCTATGGCAGGCTACGCGTTGATCTTCAACACCATGCTATGCCATGTAATGCTATGCCCTGCTACGACATCCGACTGTGCGAATGGAACGATCTACGCCATGATAGGATGGGAGGGAGGGGTAGGACGTCAGATATGACGCGAGCGCTCCTAACTTGCCTCCTCCCCCTCTCCCTCCCCCTCTCCGTCCTCCTCCTCCTCCTCCTCCTCCTCCTCCTCCTGCTCCTCCTCCGATTCCTCCTCCATCCGCCCCATGTTGGGGTACGACGTCTCAAATCGCCTTTCGTCCCACTGCATTCTCCAACACATCCCTGATGCGGGCAACTTGTCTGGCCATAGTTTCTGGGTGGGCTAGTGGGGTTACTTTTTTGGTCAGCGGCCCCGAAACGAGTGTCAGGGAGCGAAGGCGACGTCTGGGCCACGGGCGAGGCGAATTTGCAAGACAGCGCGCCGCCAGCCAGTGTAGGCGGACAGACTGCTAGCACGGGCGCAGGCACTGAACAAAATGACCAGAATTCGAAAGGCCTACACACGAAGGCGCAGCAACCCTTACCACAGTGGGCAGGTCGCTGTGCCCGGTGAAAATGAAAAGGCCCCGAAGTGAGTCGCCGAGGTGGCGCCAGACTTCAACGGTCGACCTGCGCAAGCCAGCCGGCTGAGCGGTCGAGAACAGAAAACAGCGCGCGACAGCTGGAAAGGGGCCGGGCGTGAAGGCTGCACCACTCAGCGCCCAGGCCAATCTCAGATCAGCATCGCAGTGTCGGGGGGGGGGCCGTGCGACTGTGATCCAACCGCGCGCGACTGCAAGGTGCGGCCGCAGGGTGTGAGGGAGCCCGCTGGCGTGGTGAGCATCGCCAAACGGAGAAGAAGAGGGGGG